TCTCCTTGCCCTCCCAAACCATACCCCCTGCCTCTACTCTAAATCTCCAAGACTAGAACCCTCACTTCCTTCTTCCTGGAGCCTGTCTGCCCCCTGAGGACACAGCTGTCCCCATGGCTCATTCCACTGGAGTTTCTTCTCTCCCTCAGGCCATGCGGAAGTGGTCCTCACTCACCATGAAAACTTCCAATCTGTTTCTTCTGCCTTCAAACACCTGGCTCCTTTGGAAGGCATGGAGTTTACCACCCACGACTTTTCCTAGTTAGTGTCACCTTATCATCCTCCTGGTCACTTTCTCTGTTCCCTGATGATTTTGGCACCAGGCTCTTTCTCCTACACTGTCATCATTCTTGGTGACCTCAGCATCAGTGCTGATGATCCACTCAACACTCCGGCCCCTAATTCCCTTGACTGCCTTAGCCCTAGCAATCTATTTTCTCCTGCCCTGCCTTAGCTTCCTGGACATAACTTGGACCTTGGACCTTGAACCTTGGAATCATGACTATCAGCACCATCCCCAAGATCTCAGATTCAAAGATCCCCCCACCTGTCAGACCCAGTTCACCCCCTCCAGTCTTTCTTAAAAAAAAAGATTTATTTGTTATTTTAGAGAGAGAAAAAGAGTTGGGGGAGGGGCAGAGGGAGAGAGAGAATCCACAAGCGGACTCCCCACTGAGCACGGAGCCTGACAGTGGGGCTCAATCCCACAACCCCAAGATCATGACCTGAGTAGAAATCAAGAGTTGGATGCTTACGCAACTGACCCACCCAGGCGCCCGCCCCCCCCCCAAGTCTTTCCGTTCCACCTGAGACCTCCAACCCATCCTGCTACTGTTCCTTCACTATGTGTCTCCCCTCAGGTCTTCACTTCTCAGCCAGCTGAGATTTCATGATCCAGCACACAAAAATCTCCCTTGCAAACATTCTTAACTTCCTTACACTGGTCTCTCTCCATCGTATTCACCTGGCAAAACCCCAACTGTGCTTAAATCAAACTGTTTACTTCACACCTGCAACCGAGCAGTTGCGCACCACTGAAGAAAATTCCCCAGCTGTTCTAGATGGACTCACTTCAAATTTACAGCCGTAAATTTCAAATAGGCATTTGAACTGCTGGACAATCCTACTACAGTTTCTTAGAAAATTTCTTTTCCCTCTCCACAGTGCAACAATGTCACACTTTCTCCTCTCTCTGCATATTTTCAACACCCTTCCTCTTTCGCTCTCCGTGTGACCTCAAATACCCTTCATAGAGAAAATAGGTACAATCAGACCAACTGTGTGACCTTGCTGCCACCAAAGCCATGAGAATGTCTGCAGTTCTGCATGCTCTGCACCCATCTGTGGCCAGCCCCTGCATCTGTGCCCTGGGCCCCTTCCCCTCTCACAGCTTAAGTATTCCCTCTCGTTCATGCATCATCGACTTCTCCCTCTCTACTAGATCCTTCCCATCAAAGGGAAACAGGATTTATTTATTTTTATTTTTATTTTTTTAATTCTTTTTTTTTTTAAGATTTTATTTATGTATTTGACAGAGAGAGAGCGCACAAGCCAGGGGAGAGGCAGAGGGAGAGGAAGAAGCCGACTCCCCCCAGAGCAGGGAGCCCAATGGGAGACTCCGTCCCAGGACCCTGGGATCACGACCTGAGCCAAAGGCAGACGCTTAACCGACTGAGCCACCCAGGTGCCCCGATAAAAGAGGATTCAATTCCCTAAATTTAAAAATGTATTAGCCTTAGCCTCGTGTTTCCTGCCAGCTACTCTATTTTGTTGGCCCTCTGCAGAGCAGGTGTTCCTGAGACAGTTGTCTCTAGACTGACAGCCCTAACCCTTACCCCCCATTCTCACCTCCACCCACCCCAAGGGGGCTTTTATCCTTCAATTCTGTTGTAATCCCTCTTACTAAAAAGGCCAGTGACCCAAATTTTGGCTAGACTAGTGGCAAGCTCATGGTCCTTGTCTCTAGTCTCCCAGTGGCACTGAACATGTTTGACCACCCTGGGGTGGCCCTAATTCTTGTTGCTCAGCCCCGTGTCCATATTTCTATGTGATATTACAGTCCCTCCCACTAGAGGCAGAGTATGCTTTCTTGCCCCTTGACTTTGGGCATGGCGGCGTAACCTGTTTCAGCCAACGGAATATAAGGAGGAAGTGACATGGTGCCAATTCTAAGCCTTGGTCGCGCGAAGCGTCTTGTGTTTCTACTTGCCTCCTTCTGCCAGTGTTATCCCCATGGAAAAAAACCTGCCCTAACCACCCTGCTGCTACAGGGATGATAAGGGACATGTATATAGAACAGAATCAGACCCAACTACAGCTTAGAGCTGCTCAGCCACGGTCAACCACATCTCACTGACCTCCGGATGACCCACAGATGCATGAGTAAAAGAAATATTTACTGTTATACATCACTGAGATTTTTGTAGCTGTTTGTTACCCAGCAATAACGGACCATACATCCTCCTTTTTGAAATACATCCTTTACTTAGTTTCCTTATAATTCAATCTTGTGGTTTCCCCCCCAACTTCACAGGTTGTTCTTTTAAGTCCTCTCTGCTGGTTTCCCTCTACCAGATCCTTAAACGTTGGCATGGCTTCAGTGTCAGCCCTCTCTCTTCTGTCTTTACTCTTTCCTCAAATGGAATTTTGCAGGCCACAGCTTTGACTACCATCTACAGGCTTGTTCTCAAATTTAAGTCTGATGGCAAGACACCCCTAAATTCCAGACCCCAAACCTGCCTCCATAGGTCCAGCTCATATCTGATAGGTCTTGGCATGGCCACAACAGAACTACAGGGGCACCTCTTCCCCCAAACATGGGCATCCCTTCCATCCAGTTAGCCTAAAAATGGAGGCATCATCCTTAACTCCTCACTTCTGTCATAGGTCAGATCATCAGTTAAGTCCTATCTACTATACCTCTAAAATTGCTCCAGAAATCAGTACTGCATCTCACCATCTCTACAGCCACCACCCTGGTTTTATCTCTTCTTGCCAGGACTTCTGCAACCGCATCTCAGCTGTTCGCCTCAGCTCCTAGTCTGTGCTCTGCAAAGCAGCCAGAGTGATCTTTCTAAAGGGTAAATGAAATATGTTCACTCCCAGCTAAGAGGCTCCAAAAGCTTCCCACTGCAACCAGAACGAAACTCACACTCCTTACCTTGGCCCACAGGGACTGATGATGTAGCCCCTGCCTTGTCCCCAGGGCCCCTCAAATCTCCTTGTTCCCATTGTCCCAGTGACAGTGGTCTCTGTGGTGTCTCTGGAACACAACCAGTGCATGTCTGCATTCCTCCTGCTTGGATCACTCTTCCCCAGATATTCACAGGGCTGCCCCCTCCCCAACCATAAAGTCTCAAAAGTCACCTCCACAGAGACTTCCCCTGTCTAACTAAAGCAGCACCATCAGCCCCACTCCACTTCCAAGATCCCTACTCTAGCACATTAGTTTAGCTTCTCTGTTGTCCTTATCAACAAGTGAAATTGTTTGACTTTGTGTCTACTCTCTTCCCTCCCGTTAGAACATAAAATCCTCACGGGCTGGTATTTGTCCTGATCTCGGATATATTCCCCAGGCCCAGAACATGCTTTGCACATAGTGGGCTCTCAGTAATGCATGTTGGCTGACCTACTGATGCTAGAACTGAATGGAGAAGGGACATGACTAGCTAGATGGTGAAGAGGGGAAGGGTATCCCAGGAAGGCAACTGCAGGGCCACACAGGGAGGCTGGAGAATTCAACACATGTCCAAGGGAGGGGTCGGGCTGGCTTCAGGGGAGAACGCCCCTGGGGAGCTGGGGAAGAAAAGTCTGCAGGGTGGGAGGGCTTGAAAGTGATTACTCCAAGTCCCTTGAATTAGTGGGTGCTGCTGAGGATTATGAGTCAAGGGCATGATATATTCTAAGCAACAGTTTTCGGATGATGAATATGGTTGAAGGGTATGCATTTCTGAGCGTCCTTACTAAGTGCTGTCCTGTGGGAGAACAGAGTTTTAGAAGACAAAGACATCTAGAAGAATCTGGGAGCCCAGGGGAGCCAGAGATCCATTCCCTCGGATTTCAGATGCAAGAAAAACCCATTACCCAACCTTTTAGGGACCAGTATTGAGTTCCCAGTTTTGGAAGGTCTCCCTGAGTAATTAAGGGTTTGCTGAGCGCACAGCAGGCGCTCATACACATGTGTTAACGAGCTGGTGCCCTATGCCTTGGGCTCCCTTACAGCCTCCCCGCAACACACCACACACACACACACACACACACACACACACACACACACACACAACTAAATTGCTTTTTCACCCAGTGACTGCACACAGCTTTACCAGACCCCCACCCCATGGATACACCCCGACCCAGCTACTTGCCTTCCCAGCCCCCTCCACCCAATTCCATTGTCAGAGCTGAACAAAAGGCCCAAGGCATCCTGGGTTAAAGGATTTTAACTCTGCCAATCCCAGGAGGTTCCAACAAGAAGCAGCTTCCTGCAGAAGAAAAGTGACTGAGAAATCTCCCCAGGGACAGGGGTTTTTTGTGGTTTGTTTTGTTTTTTTTTTCAGGTCTCAAAAACAGAACCTAGCCGCCAATCAAGACACTCCCCCGCCCCAACCTCCCCCCAGCTCCCACCCCAGGGATTAGGAGCTTTAACTGCCTGAGACCTCCCAGCAGTCAGAAAGCTTTTTGGGTCTTTTCGCCCATGTCTTCTATTTGTGGCGGTCAGGCTTGTCAGCTTCCACCCGGGCCCGAGGAACCGTCCCCGCCACCCCCAGCAGACAGGACTCCCCCTCTGCTCTCGTCCCGGAGCTCCTGCCGTCTGCCTCCCCGACTTCGTCCCGCGCCCGCACTGCTGCCACCCCCCCCCCCCCCCCCCCCGCAACCTCGGAGCCCCGGCCGCGCGCCCCGCTCCCCCAAGCGCCGCACACCGCCCCGGGCCCCGCGGGAGCTCAGGGCGCGGCGGGGCCCCTCCGCCCGGCCGCGGACACCAGCTCCAGAGCCCGGCCCGAACCCCGTCCTCCTCTGGAGAGGCCAGCCTGCGGCCTTGCGGCTGGTTAGCAAGAGCATTTCCCGGGGCTGGGTTCGGTGTGCTCGTTTCTGAGCGCCTCCGTCCTCACCCAGGGGCAGCGTCTGGGGAGCCCTTGCTGGCTGCTCGGGCCCCAGACTCCGAGGTTTCTGGAACAAAACTGCATTTGGTGTCAAACCCCTTCGCCGACCCTGGAACTAAAGTTAAGTATGAATTTTTTTTCCTTCTCAAGTTTTCACGTAGAAGAGATACTGGGCAAATTAGACACATATTTGGGGAAAAAGTGAGCAGTAAACGCTGGTATTTAAACCACACAAAAATGCCCACGCCAGGCCCGACGCCCGGGCGGCCGCTATGCGCCCGGCCGCTGCGCAGCGCCCTCTGGCGGCGGCGCGCGGGCTCGGCCGTCCCGGGGACAGAGCCGCTCCTCTGAGTCTGAGAGACACCGGGGCAACTTTGGAGGAGGGGAGTCGAAAGCGTCCGACGCCGAGGTCCCCTTTTTGGGGCTCCGTGGCTGGCACTGAGGCCAAGAGCCCAGGGAAGGGGCCCACATAAAAGAAAAACCCTTGTTGCACTTTCGATGACTACCTGAAATTCTACCAGTACAGCATCTCCATTTTACCTGCAGGCTTTGATTCTTTTTAAAATTCAAGCTCCTCAGGAGGGGTGACCCTTCAAAACAAGGGCAGATGGCAGGCTGTGTCAAAAAATTACCAACGTCAGCACCAAAAAGAAATGATTGTACCATAATATGTACATTTTAGATGGTGAGGACTTTTAATAAGTTATCATTTACTCTTCCCCTCGGTAGTGTTTGTTGCCCGGCACCCGTTTGTACTCTGAACAGGGGTGTTATTTTAGGCCGACCCTCTCCCAGTGGCCGGTCCCTCCAGATCAGTTGGCTCCAGCTTTTCCTGTCCCTGGTACATCCTCAACATTTCTCCCCTCTGTCTGCTCCTCGCTGTCACGCGGCTGCTTGAGTTTAGGCTCCCACAGCTTACTGTCTGGATCCCTGCTACTCCAGAGGGAGCGCAGGGCCCCCGGGAGAGTGGAGGGGCCTCTCTCAGGTCCTCCCTCTGCCCACAGGAAACACAGCATCTGCGAAGAGGTAGCCGCCTCTCACGGCTCCGGGATTGCCTTCCCAAAGGCAGCCGAGTACTCCTGCTTTCGGCTTCCTCACTGACCATCTGTGATTTCTTTCCAGAAAAGTACTGCCGTTCCTTCACCTGGTGGAAGCCAGAAGAGGAGAGGGCTCTGGGTCCTGAGGGACCCAGGCCACTTCTCCCCTGTCATTTTCCTCTGCATCTCTTTCCCCTGCCGGAAGGATTTCTACATATCCATCCTGCTTGGTGGGAATTCCTCTAACCTCGTATCTTCCTTCTCCTCGAGGTATTTCTTGCTGTATTTACTGCTACATAACAAGCCACCCAGTGGCTTCGAACAAGAAACATGTATTTATTTACTCATGGCTCTGTGGATCGGGGGGGTGCTTTCTAGACAGGCTCTGCTGGGCTCGCCAGTGTGTCTGTGGTGAGCTGGCAGGTCACTGGACAGCTTAGGACGGCCTCACTCACACCTGATGGTGAGCAGGCTCCGCTGGAGTGAAGGGTCCCTGGGCTCTGCATGTCTCATCCAGCAAGTTTGCCTGCCCCGGCTTCTTCCCCAAGCATGCTCACAGAGTGAAGGAAGGCACCACAGAGTCCTATAGCCATGTTTGCAACCTGTCACGCTTGCCCTCTCCCTTCCTGGGGTGCAGGACCCATAGACGAAGCACACCTCAGGATGTTACGTCCCTTACACCCCCCAGCGCAGCACAGTTCTGAAGCACACAAGCCCAGCAGCCCACACGCCTGGCCTCGCATCCTGGCTCCGTATTTATCAGACATGTGACCTAGGAAAACCATTATCTTACCTCTCTGGGCCTCAGTTTCCTAATCTGTAAAAATGGGAATTGTAAATATCAAATTTAAGTTCATCCATACTAGTTACTTAGGTGGTGTCCGGCCCAGGATAAGTGCCCAATAAGTGTCAACCGTTATGCCATGAGGTGACCGCTGGCTGCCCACCAGGACTGCTGAGGCCACCAGCACCACCTTCCGCCCGGGCTCCAAAGCCCCCTCCCACCACTGCTGACACAGACGGCCCCCAGCCGGCAGCTCTGCTGGCCGCACCTGAAACCTGGCTCCTTCGCTGAAGCCCATCTCTCTAGATTAGCTCTTACAGGGGCGCCTGGGTGGCGCAGTCGGGTAAGCCTCTGCCTTTGGCTCAGGTCCTGATCCCAGGGGCCTGGGATGGAGTCCCCAGAGTCCCGCGTAGGGCTCCCTGCTCAGCGGGAGTCTGCTCCTCCGCCCCCCTCCCAGCCCCACTCATGCACTCTTTCTGTCCACTCACTCTCTCAAATAAACAAATAAATAAAATCTTAAAAAAAAAAAAGATTAGCTCTTACAAGAAGGGCTCTGAATCCGACAGACCGGAGGTGTGTAGACAAGTGAATTCCTCTCTCTGCATTTCAGTTTCCTTGTCTGTAAGACGGGAGTACAGATGGCCCCCTCCTTAGGATGGTTCGACTTAGGAACTTTTGATTTTACGATGGGGCAAAAGTGATATAGATTCAGTTGAAACCATACTTGGAATCTTGAATTTGGATCTTTTCCCAGGCTGGTGATATTCGGCACAACTCTCCTCCGCAGCTCCGGGTCAGCGAGAGGGTCAACAGCCCATACACTTACACTTAAACTTATGGCCCTTACACTTACTCAGCACCCGCCCAACCGTGCAGTTTTTCACTGTCAGTACAGTGTTCAATACATTGCATGAGATATCAAACAGTTTATTATAAAGTTAGCTTTCTGTTAGATGATTTTGCCCAACCGTAGGCTCATGTAAGTGTTCTGTGCACATGTAAGGCAGGCTAGGCTAAGCTGTGAGGGCAGATAGGCTAGGTGTATTACATGTGTTTTTGACTTATGATATCTTCAACTTATGATGGGTTTATCGGGACTTAATCCCATCTTACGTCGAGGAAGATCTGTAATAGCAGTGTCTCCCACAGAGCATATAAAGCATAATATGAAGAAATTAAGACCCTGTGCTTTAAAAATGTTGGCACCCATGGGACACAGAACCTGTGTTGTCCCTGAAATTGCCCTTCCCAGAGGTGCTGAGAAATTGCCATGGATGAATACTTTTTCCCAAAAATATCCTTTCTCACTCACAGAGCCCTCCTTTCCTCAGTCCACCAAGATAGGCCAGGATCCCAGGGAACAAGCTGAGCTCTCCTTGCCAGGGCAGGTTTAATGTCTGGTCCCTCCACAGTACCTCCTGAGGCCTGATCTTTATTTCATTTTCAACCTAGTATCTCTAACTCTAATGACTTAGTGTACAACTTGGCAAGGTAGGTGCTCAATATATATCTGATGAAAGAAAGAAAGAATGAAGGAGGATGTAGAAGAGGAAATACTGTCCCTCTACCCTCCTAGATTCGATAGCTGGGTCTATGAAATAAATTCACAGCCGACAATGAACAGGAGAAAAGATATACACATGTATTAATTTTTAATAGTCCGTGGACAAGGGCATCACAGAGGGAAAAAAGCGCGAACACCTGAAAAAGAGATGAGACTTGAGAGCTTATATACCGTCTGAGTAGAGAAGGAGAGGGGGATGTGGGTCACTTAGGGGAGAGTAAATGCTTCGGGGAAAGGTGAATGGGCCTTCAGAAGAACAGACGGGAGGTATGAGGGTGTGACAACGTTTGTCTGGGGGTGGTGTGGACTCGAAGTCTCCTCTCCTGGGATAGGAGTCAGTCTTCCCCGGTGCATGAAACTCCCAGGTTGGGGATTTAGGACAATCGAGTTCCTTTTGCAGGCTCCGTGTTTAGGCGGAGGAGGGCAGTTCCGAGAGAGCCTCTCCCTGCATCTGCTGTTTTTTCAAGGGCCTTCAGCTTGAAAGAATCAATATACCAAAGCAGCCTCTTTGGGGTGGTATGTCCTGAACTCCCTCAAGGACTTCATTCTGATAATTTTTTCCCCCCTTGGATGAAACCAACTTCTTTTGGATGACTTGCAAACCAAGTCACCCTGTAACTGAACTAACGTGAGTTCACTCCTTGGTGAGTCACAGACAGATATTACACCGGGTGAGTTGTCGCACAAAGGAGACTTGATTTACAGCAAATAAGGAGCTCACAGGGAATAACTTCCAGAGCCATGACTCCCCAAGCAAGAGTGAACGGCTCCCTTTTATTTAAGGTTAGGATGAACATTTAGAAAGGGGAGCCTTATCATCATCCCTAGAGGTGGTATGAGGTGGTGCTATGCGCCATAAGGAAAGGCCTTAAGGCCAATACCTGTACTGTGGGTTATGTAAATGAGGCTTGCTCTCCTCCTTGGGTGAAGATTTTAGTATTATAATGAGGTTAAGGTAACTGTCAGTCATTCTATGGGTCCCTCCAAGGTCCATCTGCACAGGTGTGAGTGGGGAGTTAAGTTCAAACTGGGTGGTATGGGCTGGCTGGGATTCTCTGTCTGGGCACTTGTTAGTGCTTGAGGGGCAGTTTTTGTTTCCATGGCTTCCATCGTGGGATGCTAGGCCCCTTGGGTCTTTCGCCTGAGTGAAGAGATAAAGTTGGAAAGAAGAGCTTAAGGAAAAATGTGGGACAAAGGTCAGTGGCTACAAGCAGGTGAGCAGTAAAGATCAGGTCTTGGGGTCTAGCTGGTGACAAACCCCTTAGTGCAGAAGGGACGATGTTTCCAAGAGTAGGGTGGTGCTCCTCAACCTGGCTGCCAGTTACAATCCCCAGAGAAGCACAGGCCCACCCCCAGAAATTCGGCTGTAACCAGCCCCGGAGCAGCCAGGGTGTCCCGAATTGGGAGATAGCCATGCTTTGTGTGCATTCATCATTTTCACCCCGTCTCTCCCAGAATCCGAGTCTTCAAAGCTGACAGTGAAGAGCTCCAGATTTCGTGGATGGTTCCCATAGCGTTCAGATGACAGCAGAAAATGAATGATGCTGGGCAGGGATTTCTAAGGACACCACAAAACCAATTACATGACTATTTGTGCGTGTTTAGACAAAACTGAGAAAAAAATCCACTCATCACAACTCGATGCTTTATGCAATTCATGAAATGAGTTAATATTCATAAACGTGAGCCACGCAAAGTAAATGTGAATCCAGACGCAAAGCAGAGGATGAGGTCAGCTGGCTGCCGAGCAGATTCCAGGGACCCATGGACTATCCCTAGGGAGCCAGGGTCCCAGAGTCCTGCTAGGAAGTGAGCCGGCTGACAGGCAACCCTTCAAACGCAGGGCCTGGGGAGGGGGAGGAGCAGCTTCTTCTGTGATGATGGGACCAAAGTATCCTCTATAGCAAGGGTGCAGGGCCGGGGGGGGGGGGGCAGAAGCAGAAGAGGGGCTCCTGGTGTGAAGAAAGCTGAGTGGTTTTTTGGGTTTTGGTTTTGTTTTTGTTTTTGCCTGCTGCACTTTTAGCTGAGCTCTTCTGAAAGATGGATGTGTGTCCATCTGCAAACACATTGACCCACGCCTAGATTAGAAGTGTGGGGGTAGGTGTGCATGCGGGGGCTACATAGTGTAGGCAGTGCTTGGGCCCGAGCCCCGACGGAGTTTGAGAAGATGGGGATCTTCGGGGAAGGTGTACTTCTGGGACTGGGGAGGAAGATGGTCACCTGCATCAAATGAGATTTGTCAACTCTGGAATTCAAATTTGGACCCCCAGGAAAGGGTGTGATTGTTCAAAGGATAAGGAAGTAAGGCTGAGGGTGATCTGAGTGGGGCCCTAAAATCTCTCAGTGACACACAGACTGTAACACATAGGGCTTCAACAACCTGGAGGGAAGGGGTGGCCCTGGGTCATTTACATCAGAATGACCCGGGCTGCTGGTGCCCAAGGTGCCCATCCCAGATCTACCAAAGCTTGGGTACCAGGCTTTCTAGAGATGAGGCCTGGGGAATTCAAAATCTTAAGTAAATGCCCCAAGTGATTGCAAGGTGCCAAAGAACGGAGGGTCTTTAGAGTTGGTAGATAGGGCTAGAGGAGGGTTGAGAATGGGCCTGAAGCTTTTAAAATCTAGCCTCTCTCCCGGGTGGATCTGCAGTGAGACCAGGAATCAGTATTCTTATGCCATTCCACAGATGATTAGGGTAATCATTCACATTAGGTGTCCTTGGAGGGAATGAACAGGAAAGAAACTTTCCTCATCTCTAACTCAACTCTGCAAGTCTCCCCACATTGCCTCTTCATTCAAACTGGGGCATTCTGCACAGACCCCCAGAGCAGGCCTGGGGCTATGGAGAGGCTGGGGCCATTGTGCTTGTTTTTTCCCCCAGCTTTACTGGGATATAATTGACATATAACATTAAGGTGTGCAATGTGTTGATTTGATACACTGATATATATATATAATGCCACCACCATGGCATTAGCTAACACCTCCATTACGTCTCATAATTATCTTTTGTGTGTGTGTGTGGTGAGAACATTTAAGATCTACTCTCTTAGCAACTTTCAAGTACACAATACAGTGTTATTAACTATAATCACCCTATTGTACATTAGATCCCGAGAACTTACTCATCTTATGACTGAAAATTTATTCCCCTTGACCAACATCTCCCCATTTCCCCTACCCCCAGCTCCTGGTTACCACCATTCTACTCTGTTTCTATGCGTTTGGCTTTTTTAGATCTCACATATATAAGTGATATCATACAGTATTTGTCTTATTTCCTTCTTTCTTGTAACTGAGTAATATTCCATTGTGAATATATATATATCCGTTTATCTGTTGCTCAATACTTAGGTTGTTTCCATACCTTGGCTGCTGTGAATAATGCTGCAAAGAACATGGGAAGGCATATATTTCTTTGAGGTCCTGCTTTCATTTCCTTTGGATATATATCCAGAGGTGGGATTGCTGGATCATGTGGTGGTTCTATTTCTGATTTTTTGAGGAACCTCCATACTGTTTTCTACAGCGGCTGCACCAATTTACATTCCCACCAACAGTGCACAAGAGTTCCTTTTTCTTCGTATCTTCTGCCAACACTTATTATCTCTTATCTTTTTTTTTTAAGTTTTTATTTAAATTCCCGTTAACATTCAGTGTAATATTAGTTTTAGGTGTACAATATAGTGGTTCAGTGTCTCTTATCTTTGTGACAGCCGATTCTAACAGGTGTGAGGTGAGTGGGGCATTGTTTTGAAATCTTTTTGAATTGATAAGAAGCCACAAAATGCTTTTGGCCTCAAGGGAGGGAGTCTGGCCACCTTTCTGCCCGCTCAACACGGAACAGCAGGCAAAAAGTCAGTTGTAATAGAGTTCTAACACCCATAGGATGTGAGTGGACATATAAACAGGTATGTGTCTATACCAGCTGAGGCCCTGCTTTCTGGTACCACTGGTCATGGAGGCCGCACCTTTGCCAGTGGGTGAATTCCAAGGCAGCCTGGCCCTCAGCCCTTAGCCCTCACCAAAGGCAACCTTTGTTTTACAAAAAATCTTTCCATTCTTATCCAAAAATAACACTGTATGCAGTTAATACTCTATTTAATATCAAAATGGGCAGGGGGTCCACAAGGTCAAAACTTTTTTCATAATAAAATGTTATTTGCCTTTTTCCTTCTCATCTTCTCATGACCATATGAAGCTATGTGCTTTGGGAAAGCTCTGTCTGATATCACAACAGAGTGAGTCCAAAAACAGATATGAGACTCCATCTGTCTTTTATTAAGCTAAACATTTTTAAAAAATTGCAGGAATGTAAAATGGTGCCACACTTCTCACTAATATTTTTTTGTTTTGTTTTGGAAAATACAGTTATTTTAAAAATTATGTTAATGTGGTAGGTTTAATATTGTAATTTTAAGTAAATAAGTGTTTTTAAATTTTCAGTTTTAATTTCTAATATGGTAAATTTGACCCCACATAAATAAAAGGCTCTTTGAAGTCTTCAATAATATTTATGAGTATAAAGGGAGTCCAGAGATCAAGAAGTTTGAGAACCACGGCCGTATTTCATCCCCAAATTGTAGATTGTCCTATAGGCTCTACCCTACAACGTTTTCGAGGGTAAACCTCCCCCCCCCCCCCCCCCCCCCCCCCCCGCCTGTGATTGGGCTCCACCCTGCTGACAATCTAACATCTCTCACTCCTTTCCAGAACAGCTGCCTCAAAGCTCTGCCACAGCCGTTCCCATCCCTCCTTTTCGTCCTCCCTTCCCGCCTGCCAGAGTGAGGATGCATCCTTTGACTCTGCTCAGCAAACCTCGGATGGGGACAAGGGACGCGTGCAGTTGAGGAAGTAAGGGACGAAGACACAGCCACTACCCTCAAGGAACTTCCGATTTCGTGGGGAGATACGGACAGGTAAAGCAGCTGCCCAGGAGGTACCTGTCCTTGCGGTTTGCTAGCTAACACCCTGCGGGGCGAGCGGGTATTAAGTCCGCCCTGCAGGCACACCCCACCCTGCACCCCCAATCGCGCCTCCCCTTTACCTCCCGCAGCCCTGGATTCCCGAGATCCCGGGCCCGCGCGCCCCCTGCTGGCCGTGCCTCGTCTGCGCAGCCTTTTCCCTCCGGAGCTGCGGGAGGCCCAACTAGGGTAAGACCTCAATGGAGTCTAGGGATCCCAGCGCTGGGAGCCCGTCCCTGTGAGGATCTGTCCTGGTTTTCGGAGGCCTCTGTCTGTCCCTCTGCTCATGTTTACCTCTGGATGAGTAATTCCAGCCTGCTTCTGCCTCTGTGCCTGCCGTTTATCTTGTGTATTCGTTTCCCCCACCAAGCCCATTAGTAGGTGACAGAGTCTGTCACGGTAGAAATAATACGTGCTGTGGCTTGGACCCAAGTCCAAGGAGAACGATGCCAAAGTTGCACTTCCTACTGGTATGCCCCGTAGCAAATAATCTGATGTCTAAAGCAGCCCGGGACATTGGCGAATGATGGATATTCTACGTTGGGGTCAAGTTCCTTCCGAAGGGGGAAAGAACCCAGAGCCTCCGAATCTCAAGGCTTAGGCTGGATTCCCTGCTCTTAGGGAGTATATTTCCCACACTGTAGTGTGGGGGTCAATACCCTAAGACCTCCACCTGTCCTTCCAGGACTTTCTTCCACGGAGGTACCCGCCCCCCCCCCAGGCGTGCTGTTGCTGTAAACAGGACTCCAGGTGGTCTGCTATCAAATCTCAGAACTCATCAAAGTGAGTATGCAACAAACATTTTGACTCTGGCTTCCTCAATACAAAAAGCAAGCCCTAAAATCGAGGAAGGAAACACCAAAGTGCCTCTGTTTTAATCAAACCCTAGAAATTCAGAATGAAAGTATCCTCAATGTGAGGATACTGAGAACAGTATTGGGGGGGGCGTGGAAGGGAAATTCAGAGGCAGCAAGATATCCTCAGGGACCAGCCTGAGGATTTCTCCCACAGCTCTGACCCAGAGTCCATTAGCAGGAAACTCACTGCCCCATAAACAAACTCAACCATCTTAACCTAGTGGTTTCCATGGTAACCATCAAAGAGTGATCCCCTTTTCTTTCCTGCAGATGTTCCTCCTGCCCCTCCCCTCGCCAATCACTTTCAGGCAGGGCCTAGAACTGGATTCTATTCAACTATATTTGCAAATGGTTTTCCCCTTTTTAATCCATGTTTTAAGAAAGTACAAACCATTTCTTTAAATTACATGGAAATACCCTTTAAAAATAAACCAGTAATGTCCGGTACATGGAAGCATGGAGTTCATTTTATTATTCTTTTTGAGTGTGCTTAAAATGTCTTATAATGAACAAAAATTTCTAAGTAAATTAAAATTTTAAAGTAAATTAAAATTTTTAAAAGTAACCTCTATGTCCATCGTGGGGCTCGAACTCACAACCCTGAGATCAAGAGTTGCATGCTCCACCAGCTGAGCCAACCAGGTGCCCCGTTCCCCTCTCACTGTGTCTCTCTCCGTCAAATAAATAAAATCTTTTAAAAAAATAAAATAAAATAATTTTTTTTCTAAAAAAATTTAGGCAAAAAAGAAAAAAAACATTCAGCATATCTGAAGAAAATCTGGTCTTTGTGAAGAATGATGAGAGATTAAAAAATAAATACCATTTTCTACAAAAGGAACCAATAGATTATAAGCCTCAGTCCTTATTTGGGATGTGGTAAAGATGGCATAGTCTTAAGACTTTCATTTCGAAGCACATGAAGACTATAAATAAACCTCTAAAGTATAATAAAACATAGATATTGGGGGGACATTTTTAAAAATGAATGAATCACATTGTCCTTCTTCCATAACTCCCTTCCCATCTTTTACTCATGTTGCCCCCGTACCCTTCCAAATCTTTCAAACTTCCACAATGAGAAACCCAGCAAGTGTGAGCACCTGCTGTTCTTGTCCTACAGCAGGGGCTGGGTAAACTACGGTCCTTGGGCCTGTTCTGGCGGGGTGCCTGTTTTTGTCTGGCTGGTCAGCTAAGCATGGTTTTTGCATTGCTAACAGGCTGTAAAACAGGCAAACGCACAAAGAAGGATCTGGGACCTACACTCGATGTTCACCCTCTGGCCACGTCTGATCCGGGAAGCCTCTCTGCTGTAGGCTGGCTGGAGCCCTGGTGAAAGGTGGCTTCTTTTCCATCCAGGCAGCTATGACAAGAGGTACAGCCAGGAAGTTGCCATGCCGACAGGGAATTCAGTTCTTAAAATAGTCCACTGTGCTGAGGCATTTTCAGGGTGGGTGGGTTTGGAGGGAGGGGGTTTGGGAGAGGGGTGGGGAGAGATGATAAACTAATGAGTCAGACCCAACGGATGACAGCTGTCCCATCATCCCTCTGGCAATGTGAGGTGGGCAGGGCACAGCTCTCTAAAATGAGGTCGGAAAGAGACATTTTCCATTCAAAGAGCAGGCGAGCTCTGTTTCCTCACACTATTTTCCTGCCTGACAGAAGGAAATTCCCCTCTCCACCTCCCCTCCCTCTGTGGGTCCACCCTGCGGAGAATAGAAGTAGGCACCCCTCCCCTCACACAGCGCCTGTGGGATTGGGGGGACTTGTTGCAGAACTGGGAGGGGCAGGCTCTCACACATGCCTGCCTCACGGCTCTGTCCCTGGTAGGCTCGAGTCTCCTCATCGTCACAGTTAGCATCGTCAGGGGACGGTAGGGGACAAAATTCGCCACCCCAGAATGTGTCTCTTCTGCAAATGGATTATTGTAGGCTGATTATTTTGAAGAAACAGAAGGCTTAGGAAGAACCTTTGACCTTACTCTCACTGCCTACAACAATTTAGATGGAGGACCTCCTCCAGGAAGGGAGGTTATCACCCTAGATAACCAGAGCATAATATGAACTGAGGGTGGCAGACGGGGAGGAACTTAGCAAAGTCTGTTTGTTAAAATTCCTCTCCGTGTCCCACTGTTTCTGGATGACGCAGCAAACAGTTTTTTGCTGAACATTTACTCTTTTTCATCTTCTTGTGAATTGTCTTCCTTCCCTTTGTAATCCCAGACCCCTACCCACTTCTCCTTAGCTCCAGGTGCCATATAAGCCTCAGTTGCCTGAGTGCCTGTGAACATCATATTCCTGTGGAGCCCCTTAGTATGTACTTAAATTTGATTTTCTCTTGCTAATCTATCTCATGTCAATTTAATTCATAGTCCAGCCAAAAAGAAAAAACCTTGAAAGATAGAGAAAAGTTTTTCTTCCCCAGCAGGGCCAAAATGAAAGTATATCACTAAAGATGTCTTTTAGCCAGACAGACCAATCAATCTGCCATCATTCTTTGAGCATTTCCTGTCACCCCTCTGTTGTGCCCTCATTGCCTGGAAGATGAACTGAGTACTTATTTTTTTATTGTGGTAAAATATATATAACATAAAACTTACCATTTTAACCATTTTCTAACTGTACAATTCAGTGGCATGAAGTACATTCACATTGTTGTACAAATATCCCCACCATCCATCTTTGGAACTTCTTTATCATCCCGTATACTGAAACTCTCCACATAAGTCTCCATTCTGTACCACCACCCCCAGGCCCCGTCAACCACTATTCTACGTTCTATCTGTACCGATCGGCTGTTCTTGGAGTCTTATATAAATGGAATCATTAGGTATTTGTTCTTTTGTGTCTGGCTTATTTCACTTAGAATATCTTTAAGGCTCATCCACATAGGCACATGCGTCAGAACGTCATTCCCTTTTAAGGCCGAATAATATTCCATTTTGTGTATAGACCACATTTTGTTTAGCCATTCGTCCATCAGTGGACATTTGGGTTGTTGCCATCTTTGGGCTCTTGTGATTAATGCTACTATGAACATGGGTGTACAAATAGTTGTTGAGTTTCTGCTTTCAGTTCCTTTGGTGGCAAAGTCCATTTTCAGAAAGAGAACAAGGAGAAGATTAAGAATGCAATCTCAGGGCACAGAAGATACTACAAGCACCATTTTCTTACCTTTTCCATTCCACCATCCAAAGTCCATCTCTGACAAGGCCAGCAAGCCCCTTTTCTCCTGCCTTCCTCCCTCATCCATCCTCCAGCACCTTGCTCTTACTGCCCATTATCATGAGGTCATTCCCATGGGCACCTCTAGTCCCAGATACATCATCAAGGACAATGGGCAGCTTTAAGGTTGATGGTTCTCATATTTCTCAGAGTTGAGCATTATTAAAATAAAACCAATGGTATCTTTTAGCATGGTTTCAGTGTGTGTTTATAGTAAAGGACTCATTTCCCACCAGGGACAGAGAACCGAAAGGCTCAATGCATGGCATACCACTAGCAATTTTTTGGTTGGGAATGAGCACATGGTCTCAGTTGGCTCAGGCTGAAGGGAATGAATTTTACCTCATGGCTGGGCATAGTTTTGTTTTGTTTTGTTTTTCCCTAGAAGTGCCCCACTTGAGGCCGAACGAAAGGAAGCTGGGCTGTGGATGCAGCTGACATCTAGGAAGGAAGGCAGAGCTGAGAGAATAGCAGAATATGGTGCTAGAGTCCTGATCATGCAATGCCTGAAGCCTGAACTACCCCAGTTACCTCTGAAGGAGCTACTAAATCACCTTGTATTTCAAGCCAATTTTGGTGAGGCTTTCTGACCCTTGGGGCCAAAAACATTCTAACATATGCAGTCTGCCTGGTGTTAGGGTTTTGGTTTTAACCCCAAGAAGAGTGGAATGTCATTTTGAGGTTTCAGCACGGAGAGCCCAGGGAGAGGGTAACCCAGTCAGATCTGCACTTCAAAGCATGTCTTTGGCGGCAGGGTGGAAACGGGTTAGTAGGGAGCTGGAGTGGCTGCAGTTAGGGGCCTTACTGTGCTAGTCCTGGTGAGAGGTTATAGAGAAGAGAAGAGATCTGGGAGATTTTAAGGAAGTTGGGTAACTTTGGCAGAAGTCAGTAAGGTAGTAAGGTTGACAAGCCTTAGTGATGGTTTGGGGGGAGAGGATGGGGCTGTCAGGGGTGACCTCTCGGTTTGTGACTTGCTCAGCTGGATGGATGGGGGTGCTACCCACCATGACAGGGCTGTTGTTGAGGAAAAACGACTGAACACTGAAAGTGTCAGGTTGCTGGAGAAACTGGACTTCAGCGGGAAAAGCAACAGCCGTGCTAGCCATGAACCAAGTGTGTTTACCCGGATAAACTCATGAGCACAGTGGCCTCATTGCCACTTTACAGATGAGTAAACCGAGTCACGGAGAGGTTAGTAACTTCTCTCAGGCCATACAATCAGCTAGGAAATGAGATTTGAACCCACGCTGTTTGTCCCCACGAAGCACCCAAGGAATATATGTGCCAGGAAGGTTCAGATGAGAAACAGCAGGTAATACGGTACTATTTTCTGAGGCCTGAGCCCCCACCTCCAAAGCAGAACACTCTAGGAAGCTGGATTTTAATCCCTGGCCCGGCTCCCCTTTCCTAAGTCAGTTAGCACCTCGCTGGTTTCCGACTAAGCAGCCTGGATCCATATCCGAGCGCCAGCCCCCCTAGCAGAGCCTCTGTGGGGAGGCTGCCTGCTTCCTCTGTGCCTGGGGCCGATCTGCCCCAGCCGCCCAGGGACCAGGACCTGCTGTCACCAGGGAGGAAGGGTGCCAGGCAGAAGGAAGGCACGGGTAAGCCCGCTCAGGGGCAGGGCTAGCCTACACTGCGGCCACCCAGAAAGGGAGAGAGGAGAGAGCCATCCTGGGTGCTCCAGGTCCTTGGAAAGCACCGCCATTAGAAGTCTGTAGGGCGCCTGGGTGGCTCAGATGGTTAAGCGTCTGCCTTCGGCTCAGGTCATGATCCCAGAGTCCTGGGATCGAGTCCCGCATCGGGCTCCCTGCTCCTTGGGAGCCTGCTTCTCCCTCTGCCTCTCTCTCTCTCTCTCTCTCTCTGTGTCTCTCATGAATAAATAAATAAAATCTTTAAAAAAAAAAAAAGAAGTCTGTGCCCTGGAGTCGATCCATTCTCTTCTGCACCTGTGGGGATGTACTTCATCCCGGCTTGTCTTGTCAACACACAGTGCCAAGCAATGTCCTCAGCAGCAGCCTTCCAGTGACACAGAGAGGTTTCCTGAGCCCTGTCCCAGAGCATCCCTCAGTGGAGAGGACTGCAGGGGCCAATCCAGCACCCAGACTCCTGAATGGGGGGGAGACAGACACAGCTCTGATACCACCACTTCATCATCTCCTTCATCACCATCATCAGAGCGTTTCAATTTACTAAGTGAATATACCGAGCTTACTGTTTAACATCGTAACCCCAAATGTCAGACGGGGGCTCCCTTCCTCTTGAGATCTATGTGAAATCACACTGATATCCCCGCAAACACACAGACACATAAATTCCCAAGTCAATGACTGTCTAAAAGATCCACCCTTCACTCCATTTCTACTAAATTGGTAACAGGGAAGAGGTTTTGTTTCTCAGGGTTTTCTGCCCCATGGGCACCCACTTTTTTTTTTTATGGTATGCTTCCATTATATGTATTTTTTTTCTATTAGTTTCAGAGTAGAATTTAGTGATTCATCAGTTGCATATAACACCCAGTGCTCATTCCATCAAGTGCCCTCCTTAATGCCCATCACTCAGTTACCCCATCCCCCACCCTCCTCCCCTCCAGCGACCTTCAGTTTGTTTCCTAGAGTTCAGTGTCTCTTGTGGTTTGCCTCCCCCTCAATTTTCATCTTATTTTATTTTTCCTTCCCTTCCCCTATGTTCATCTGTTTTGTTTCTTAAATTCCACATATGAGTGAAATCATGTGGTATTTGTCTTTCTCTGACTGACTTATTTCGATTAGCATAATACCCTCTAGTTCCATCCATGTCATTGCAAATGGCAAGATTTCATTCTTTTTCTTTAAGATTTTATTTATTCATTTGAGAGGGAGAGAGGCAAGAGAGAGAGCATGAGTGGAGGGAGGGGCAGAGGGAGCGGGAGAAGCAGACTCCCCGCAGATCAGGGAGCCCGACACAGGGCTCCATCCCAGGACCCTGGGATCATGACCCGAGCTGAAGGCAGATGCTTAACTGACTGAGCCACCCAGGTGCCCCAATATTTCATTCTTTTTGATGGCTGAGTAATATTCCTCTCTCTCTCTCTCTCTCTCTCTCTGTGTGTGTGTGTGTGTGTGTGTGTGTGTGTGTGTGTGTGTATACCACATCTTCTTTATCCATTCATCTGTTGATGGACATCTGGGCTCTTTCCATATTTTGGCTGTTGTGGACATTGCTGCTATAAACATTGGGGTGCATGTGCCCCTTCAAATCACTATGTTTGTATCCCTTGGGGGTTTTTTTTGTGTGTTTTTTTTTAAGATTTTATTTTATTTGAGAGATTGAGAGAACAAGTGGGAGGAGGGGCAGAGGGAGAAGCAGGCTCCCCTCTGAGCAGGGAGCCCTAGGTGGGACTCGATCCCAGGAATCATGACCTGAGCTGAAGGCAGACGCTGAACCAGCTGAGCCACCCAGGCGCCCTGTTTGTATCCTTTGGATAAATACCCAGTAGTGCAATTGCTGGGCCCTGGGGTAGTCCTATTTTTAACTTTTTGAGGAACCTCCATACTGTTTTGCAGAGTGGCTGCACCAGCTTGCACTCCCACCAGCAGTGTAAGGGGAGTCCCCTCTCTCCGCGTCCTTGCCAACGTCTGTCGTTTCCTGACTTGTTGATTTTCCCACGGGCTCCCACTTCTAGGAGTGGTTTCATCCGTTCTGTCAGGTCACGGCTGATATAAAACTCAGTCCTCCACTGGTTTCCACAGAAGAGCCCCTCACATAGACAACCCCGGCGCGGTGGGCTCTGCTACGACCACGCTGTCTTGTTCTGCTTCCTGTCCCCCGCAGTCCTCACGGCTGGGTACCTTGTGACACTGATCGGAGGCCCTGCTTGCTCTGAGGCGGGCTAGCCACGAACCACAAGCCAGAGAAATCGGCCGTGTCTTCGGGAGGGCCACAGGTTTAAGAGACACAGATTCACTGATGGCTAGGGAAGACTGGAAAGGATGTTATTAGCAAATAGTTGTTGAGCGTTTCCTGGGGGCAGCATGCTGCGTGTGGTGCTGAGGCATACGAGGATGGCGTCAGCCCTCTGCCCCAGGGGGCTCGCCACAGAGGGGAGGACAGGCACACGCTGCTGATGGCGGCCAAGCAGTGGGCCAACGCGAGTATTGCTGACCGTGCGCAAAGGGATCCCGAAAGGAACAGAGTCTCTTTTCGGGTGGGAAGGTGGGTCGAGAGGGCTTCGCAGAGGATGTGACACTTGAGTGGGCATTGGAGGTGAAACTGGAGAGCCCCGGAAGTGCCTGGCCCCCTCTGAGAGTAGGGTGTCGTCAGTACAGGACATGTGCCCAGAGCTGGGACGGCGGCGGAGGGGGGGGGTGTTGGTGGTCCAGGCTGTAAGGGATGTGTCCTGCCTTCCCCAGAGTCTGGGCAGCTTTCCTGTGGCGAAAGGTTGGGTACCCAGCAAGGATTTAGCTTGACTGCTTGTGTCCATTCCTCCTTTCCTCCACGCTGGGGAGGAGCTGGGAGTGGGATGGGTGAACATCTTTAAGATGTTTGCTTCCTTTAATCAGCCCCCCTGCACACCGCTGATATTCTGGCTCCCTGGAGTCTAAGAGGGAAGAAAGGAGTGGATTGAAAATGAGAAAATGCTCATATAAAGGAGTAAAAAGCAGCTAGAAGTACAACACTCATTTGGAGATGGAATGATACATGAGATAAAATCCTAAATAAATATCTTGCATGGTACTAATTGCATTTTAAAAGCTGCCACCAGAGAACAGATAAAACGATGCTGTATTTCATTAGTGGCTCCTTTAATTCTATGGTATTTGCCAGCAAGCCCTATTAAAGCACTCTGTAATTAAAGACCAGTTCTGGGTCCTGTAATTTAGAACATTATCAAAATATGGCAAGTGGCTGGAGGTAAAGAGATAGAAACAAACACACTTTCATGAGGTCCTTGTAGATCACACAGCATGTGAATTTTAAAAGCTCAGCTATTGTACCGCCCCTGCCAGGAGGGGCTGTTCACATCAGTGTTTTTCATTTGATGGGCAACCAGTTACATTATTATGATCCTACAGGAGTGTGGATGGAGAAGTACATCAGTTCTTTTTTAAAATAATTTTTTATTGCAATATAATTCTTATAGCATGAAATTACCACTTTGAAGTGTATAATTCATGGGGTGCTTGGGTGGCTCATTCGGCTAAGCATCTGCCTTTGGCTCAGGTCCTGACCTCAGGGTCTTGGGATAGAGCCCTGCCTCAGGCTCTCTGCTCAGTGGGGAGTCTGTTTCTCTGTCTCCCTCTGCCCCTCTCTCCACTCATGCTCTCTCTCTGTGTGTGTGTCTCTCTCTCAAATAAATAAATATCTTTTTTAAAAAATGAAGTGTACAATTCAGAGGTTTTTAGTGTATTCAAAATGTTGTACAGCCATCACCACTATCTAATTCCAGAATGTTTTCATTATCCCTGCAAGAAACCCCATACCTGCTAGCAATCGCCCCCATTTCCACCCACCCAGCCCCTGGCAAGCACAAATCTTTCTGCCTCTATAGATAGGCCTATTCTGGACATTGCATGTAAGTGGGGTCCTACAATATGTGGTCTTTTGTGACTATCTTCTTTTGCTGCAAATATTCTCAGGGCTCCTCCGTGTTGTAGCATGTGTCAGTACTTCATTCCTTTTTATGGCTGAAAAATATTCTATTGTGTGGACAGACTGCATTTTGTCATCCACTGATCAGCCGGTGGACATTTGGGTTGTTTCCATGTTTGGGCTCTTATGAATAATGCTGCTATGAACATTCAAGCACAGGTGTTTGTGCGAACATGTCTTCAGCGCTCTCGGGTATGAACCTAGGAGTGGAATTGCTGGGTCAGATGGTAAGCCCATGTTTAACCTTTTGAGGAGCTGCCAGACCGAGGTCCACAGTGGAGACACCATTTTACATTCCCGCAGTGCATGGGGGTTCTGATGGCCCCACAGCCTTGTCACAACTTGTGTCTATTGCTTTTCCTTACAGCCATTCTAAAGATGAGCAGTGGACTCTCACTGTGGTTAAATGTATCCTTTAACCATGAAAACAGCTCTGGTGCGCTTTGCCCTTTGTGGTAAACCATGGCCGTGCCCTCTGCGTCAGCCCTGCGGGGGACGGTCCATGGCCCGCTTCTCCTGTCCTCTCCACTGGGACCTGGCCTGGACCTCCCCACCCAGGTCATGAAGACGGTGGGTGGTTAGCTGAGCTCAGCTCCTCCAGCTTCCCCTTCAGCTCTCCTTAAGAGGCTTAGCAGGTGCAGTGATAAAGACCAGACAAGAGACCAGGAGAGGAGGAAAGAAAGCCAGGTTGCCCAGCAGAGAGAGGCAGTTTGAGGACAGGGGTGCCGGAGCAGGGGCCCAGATGAGGGGAAGAAAGAGGATGACACCTATGATGCGATTGTTTTTTTGAATCGGTGATATATGCACATGGTGCACAATTATAAAAATCTCTCCTTCCCCCACCTTTGGGCTCCAGCACCCCATTATTTTCCCTAGAAGGAACATCGTTTATCAGTTCTTTGTGCATCCTTCCAGAAATATTCCATCGCAGAGGTTCTCAAACTTCCCTGTGGATGAGAATCCCCCCAGAGGGCCTGTTAAATCAAAGAATGCTAACCCACCTCTGGAGATTCTTTTCTGATTCAGAGGGTCTGAGAATTGGCATTTCTAACGAGTCCCCAGGTAATGTGGATTCTGCATTCTAGGGGCCATACTTCGAGAACGACTGTTCTAGAGTATTCATAGGAACCCTTTCCATACGTAGCCCCCTTTTCTGAAGCCTCTCAGTATGGAAATGTCCCTTAAGACACCATTGATATGGCACAATCCCTGCCCCTGCGTCTTCTCTGTGCCGCTTTCTTTGCCTAAGATACCTTCATTCCTGACCTCCACACATCCAAGGCCATCCTCAAAGGCCGTCTCCCCCAGGCAGTCTTCCTTGGTTCTTTCCTTATATGGAAGAAACTGTCTACTCCTTTAAACTCCCATGGGAGTGTTTCTCTGTATCTCTCTAAGGGCACGTATTATTTACTAGAACAGAATGCTAAATGGGGCTCTTTCTGCTTTGTTTTCCACAATTTTTGTTAAAGAGATACCCTAAAGTGGGCTTAAGAGATCTTCAAATGCAGAATTCAGGTTTCAAGAACTTTGGAGTACCCCTGGAAGGTTTCTTGGGAGAAAGCTGTTCTCTAAGTCTAGAGAGGGGGAAGATGAGATCGTATGGGGGTGTTACCTCCTTCCCCTTGAGCTCAGAGAGACTGGGCTTCAGTGGCTGCTTGAGAGCTTGAGGTGCACTCTCAACAGTGGGGAGCCTCTGTGGCCTGGGTCCAGACTCACGCCTGTCTGAGAGAGCAGAGGTGGCCTGGGCCCACCAAATGGAGGGTCAGTGTTTCTTCTGGACCAAGGAACGTCTCCAGAGCAACCATGTGGCAACATCTGAATCCTACCCAATGTGGCCGGGGTGGTAGGGGGCTGCGAGGAAGTGGGAGGTGAACCAGATTCCAGGCCTACACTGTGACAGAGTCCTGGGAACTACAGGGAAGCCCCCAGTTTGGGGGATCTTTGAGTAACACAAGTGAGCACAAGAGTCACCTTTAGGAACTTGCCATCCAGAGGACACCGATGTTTGCAGATGAGGGCACCACCTTGGATTTTGCCCTCTCTCCCCGTGTCCAGGGACCTCGGCAGCCTCCTGGTGGGAAGAGTGGGTGGGGAGGGAGAAAAAGCCACCCCACCCCCCTTCTCCGGCAGCCAGGAAGATGGAAGAAAATGTAAGCCAAGTCAAATTCCAAGTTTTGGTTATTATATAGGACTGGAAATGCCACGGACAGGAGACTGGGGTTGTGCCTGAAAGGGGCCGTTTCCCGAGAGTGGCCAGTCTGTAGCCCTGCCGGGGCTTTCGTCAGGTGCAGGCAAAATCGTCCTTCAGATTGTTTATTCATGTTGGCTTAAAGAAGGCAAGGCGCACGCGCACACACGCGCATGCACGCACACGCGCGCCCTCTGTAAGCTCTCTCTGACTCTGGGTCTTACTACTGCGTTGCGGCTCTCTGGTGCCCAGCACCGCGCCGGGCACACACTAGGCACGCACCCACTTCTTTATTCGTATTCTTTCAGCCAGCATTTATTGGGAACCCAGTCTCAATGCCGGCACCGGGCGGGAAATGAAATGGATGCGCCTCTTGTCTTCCAGGATCTTGCTGTTCGCTGGGGTGTAAGAGAAGCTTCGGTCGAAAGGGGGAGCTAATTCAAATCGGAGCCAAGCAGGGCATACGGATGGGTGCGGTGGGCCCGGATGGGACGACAGGGGTGCTTGTGGGCCTGGATGGGACAACAGGAGCGCTAGCGACTTGGGCAGAACAGGACGTGCACCATGACCCTCAGAAGGTAGCAGCTGCCCTGAGACTCCAAGCCCACCGTTGCCACACTGCCCCTTTGTTCCAAAGGAGTAAGGAATCTGGATTTTCGTGTGAAATGCCCCCAACAAAACACATCTGTGGACTGGTTCAGTCCAAGGTGGCCGCTTGGGGCCCCTGTGCTGGTGTTGGCTCTCTCCCTGCTAATCTCATGCACAAAGAGGGGCTGCCAATAATCAAGAGCCACGTGCTGCTTCTTTAGGAATTAATTAGGGTTTGAAGAGGATGTATACAAAGAACTTAGCTTTATTAAGATACTCCTTTGGCCCAAAGAATAAATATTTTTCAAATCCCAACCCTAAGTGCTTAATCTGCTAAAATGGGCAACAAATAGAATGAATGCTGAAAAGAACTTGCTTCCTGTTTCAAAAGAGCCCCTGTGACCTCTGCAATCTGATTATAGAGAAGTGGACTTTCCTGCCAGGAAGGTGACAAGAAGCCACAGAAAAACCAAGTCCCAGTTGGAGGGGAACTAGCCAGCAAGTTGCATTAACTGCAATTTCATTACCTTGAAAATGATTCCATCGGTTGGAGACCTAGTGACAGCTTCTGGGGCTGATTTTTTTCTTCTGGAACTGTTCTTTGCTCCCTGCCCTGACACTGTTCCGATCACAAGGCCCAGAAGCCAGGCTGTAAGTGGAGCTGGAGAAGTTCTGGGAGACAACAGACAATATGGCAGGCAGCCCAGCAGAAACTGCTACCGGAAATGCCTTCTCTCCAAGTTCTGTGTCCTGCTCTGGGGACAGACCCAGGGGTTGCCTCCATACAGGTATGACAGAAGAGAGAGAGAGTACAAATACAGTCAGGTTTCTTTCCTTTTGTTTCTTTTTTCCACCCCCCACCTCTTCTCTAGCAACCACGAACTTGTTCTCTGTGTCTGTCTTTTTCTGGGGTGCCTGGCTGGCTCAGTCAGAAGAACATGGGACTCTTGAGCTCATGGTCATGAGTTGAAGCCCCACATTGGGTGTAGATTACTGAAATAAATTAAATAAACAAATAAACAAACAAATAAATAAAATTTTAAGAGTATTTTTGTCTCTTTTTCATTTGTTTCTTAAATTCCACATATGAGTGAAATTATATGGTATTTGTCTTTCTCTGTCACACAATCCTCGAGGTCCATCCATGTTGCACATGGCAAGATCTCGTTCTTTTTTATGTCTGAAGAGTATTCATATATATATATATGTATGTAATATTCACATGTATGTATATATATCTCCAACGCGGGGTAGCTTCTATATTCAGCTATTGTAAATAATGCTGCAGTAAACACAGGGGTGCATAGATCTTTTTGAATTAGTGTTTTTGTTTTATCTGGATAAATACCCAGTAGTAGAATTACTGGTAATGGGTCATATGGTAACTCTATTTTTAATTTTTTGAGGAACCTCCGTACTGTTTTCCACAGTGGCTGCACCAATTCACATCCTCACCAACAGAGCACAAGGGTTCCTTTCTCTCCACATCCTCACCAAAACATTTCTTATTTTTTACCATTAATAATGTCCCTCTAGGGCCTCTGAGTGGCTCAGTTGGTTAAGCGACTGCCTTTGGCTCAGGTCACGATCCCGGGCCCCTCGGATCGAGTCCCACATCCCGCTCCCCCTGCTAGGTGGGGAGCCTGCTTCTCCCTCTGCCTCTGTCTGCCACCCCCCCTGCTTGTGCTCTCTCTCTGTCTCTCTCTCTCTCTGTGTCAAATAAATAAATAAAATCTTAAAAAAATGTCCCTCTACCTTTATTAGCAGGAAATCATCTGCCTCTTGAAAAGTACCCTTAAACTTTCTAAGAATCTTACATTCTCAGTCCAAAGAGGTCAATATTGTGTCACGAGCACTGTTGTTTCAGCTGCCACCACAAGGTGTCGCTATTGAAAGCTGGTTTTGCACAGGCCAGCACACACAGGCCAGCACAGCCCATTCTCTGGTGACGCCCCTGCTGGGACAGGTCCTCGCCAGCCCACAATAGTCTCACATGCTAGGATTGAAGGTGGCAATGCTTTTAATTAATACACATATGTATTCCCAAAGCCTGACGCTGTGCCAGGGTGGCTGCTTCTGGATTGCCTTTATGCAACTCGTATGGAGGTCACCATCCCGGATTCCCCATAACCTCCTGAAAACCTCCCCTTTGTGGCTCTACGTGTCCTTTCCTGACATCAGACTTGGTCAATGACATCCCAATAAGTTTTTGCACGTTTAAATCTCAGAAGCTAGGCTTAAGGGGACTTAGTTCCTTTCCTCCTTTAAGCTTCTGAGATGGTTCTGTAAATGTGTCCCTCCTTCAGAACTCAGCATATCAAGGGATCTTAGTGAGGGATCACCTTGCTAAACCAAGCCCAAAGTCCTGTTGCTTCTTTTAGTTGTCAAAGATAAAGATCTTATACCTAGGGCGCTTGTTTGCGAAATATATGTATTTTAAAGTTAGAGGAGGGGCACCTGGGTGGCTCAGTCGTTAAGCGTCTGCACGTCTGCCTTCGGCTCAGGTCATGATCCCAGGGTCCTGGAATCGAGCCCCGCATCGGGCTCCCTGCTCCGCGGGAAGCCTGCTTCTCCCTCTCCCACTCCCCCTGCTTGTGTTCCCTCTCTCGCTGTGTCTCTGTCAAATAAATAAAATCTTGGAAAAAAAAAAAGAGGAACAAATAGCAGCAGTTCCTCTCATAGCAAAAAAAAGCTTGCTCCAACATGACTCTCTCCTTCTAACTATACAGAGAAGCAGTTGTTAACGTCTCCTTAAAAATTAATTCAGATCATGGGGCGCCTGGGTGGCTCAGTCGTTAAGCGTCTGCCTTCGGCTCAGGTCGTGGTCCCAGGGTCCTGGGATCGAGTCCTGCATCGGGCTCCCCGCTCAGCGGGAAGCCTGCTTCTCCCTCTCCCTCTGCCCCACCCCCCCGCTCCTTCTCTCTCTCTCTCTCTCTCACTCATTTTCTCTCTCTCAAATAAATAAATAAAATCTTTAAAAAGAAAAGATGAAAGTTTCCTTGTCTCTCACATCAGCATCTAGGCCTAAGTAGCCCAGGGCTGCAGGGTGGCAGGCACCACGGTGTCAGGGACCTCAACCTCTTCAGTCTCCGTGCTCCACCATTCCCAGGGTGTGGCCCTTGTCTGCAAGGCCTGTGAGAACGCACATTGCTGTCAGCAGAATGGGGGAAGAGCTACAGGGAGGAGAGGAAGCCCTTCCTTATAAGGGCACGCCTTCTACTCACATCCCAGTGGACCAGAACTTAGGAAGCTGGCCACACCTAGCAGCAAGGAAGGCTGGGAAATGGAGCCATTATTCTAGCACCCACCTAAACACAGAGGCTCTATTACTGTAGAAGAGAGGGAGATGGACACTGGGATACAACGAGCATCTTCTACCAGCCCACATCACATTCCCTCCAAGGACACCCAATCTCCATTTTCTCTTTCTTGGTCTAGTTTCAAAGGAGTTGTCCACATCCATTATCTTGGTTTCCTTCCTGTGTTTGTTGTCCATATGTCGTGAGGGTTTGAAAAGTCTTTTGTAGGAAGAAAGGGAGGGCGCCTGGGTGGCTCAGGTGGTTAAGCAACTGCCTTCGGCTCAGGTCATGATCCTGGAGTCCTGGGATCGAGTCCCGCATCGGGCTCCCCGCTCAGTGGGGAGTCTGCTTCTCCCTCTGACCCTCCCCCCTCTCATGCTCTCTCTCTCTCATTCTTTCTCTCTCAAATAAATAAATAAAATCTTTAAAAAAAAGAAAGAAAGGGAGAATATTACACAAATCCGTTACTTAAGGGTGAGCCATATTAGTGGTTGGGTGGTCTACCTGAGAAGACCATGCAACTACAAGAGGTACAATTGCCCAGATGTGCTGAGCCAATGAACAGACTCAAAAGCAGGCTGAGAGAGATAGAAAGGAAGGGGGTGATGGTGTCAATGGTAAAAAGGCAATGAGGTTGGCAGCCAGGAGTGGGTAGGAGGGGACTGGGTGGGTCAGACAGGACACAGCAAGGGTGCCCCTTTCAAATTCCTGATCTTCTAATTCTTTAGGGTTGTGGGTGATGGGGGTGCTTTCCCAGAATGGGGCAGCTCTTTAAAGGAGTCATATACTAGGACAAAAGAGTAAGACAAAAGTCTTATATACAGTGATTCCTTTCTGCTTACATCTGTTCATACTTACAGTGTTTACAAGGTAATACATGCTTGGAGAGCCAGATAAAATTTGTGAAATCTGTGAAAACATAGTATTTGATATCAATGCAAAGCACGTGTTAAGATTAATCTGACTATGACTTTGGGCAAACGACTTACCCTTCTGTTCCTAACTTATAAAGTGGGAATAATAATGCTACACTTAGTTTCAGTAAGGTTGGTTGAAAATAGCAGAAAACCTTATCCAAACTGGCTTTAACAGTAAAAGGGAATTTATAGGCTTATGTAACTAACAAAAAATCTAGTGGTAGGACTCAGGTATGGTTGATCAAGGCTCTGGCTCAGCTTTTCTGAGATTTCCTTTGGCTTTGATCACGGTGGCAAATTATGTAGGAATTCAGATTCACCTTTGCACACCATGCCTTCCAGGGAAGAATGTTTGCATCCCATAGTTTCTGGCAGAAGTTCTAAGACTCACTCCAGCTGGATTGGGATTGATGATTGTGGGGGTGATCATCACTGTGGCCAGGACGGATGGGCATAGGGCAGGTGCTGTGTGGCACCCTGGATTTAGGTAAAGGGACAGGCTTCCCTGGAACCTGCTGGACTTCTCAGAATCAGAGGCCAAGGGGAAAATGCAAGCATGGGGAGCAAGCTGGAGGAATCCTCTGTGTCCATGTGCATTGCTTTGCGCCAGCACCCTTCCCTCTAGCAGTTACGGCTTTCTGGGGTCCTGATGGGAACTTAAAGAGGCAAAGACAGAGCCAGTTCATTGTAACTAGGGGAATTTGAGCACACTCATAAAGGAAAAGGACACTTACAAGTGGTGGCAATGCCATGTCCATACTCATCTCCAAGAAGTGCGTCGTCACCCAGATTGATGTCAGTTACGAAATCCTTTCTCCGGGGCTACAGTATGATTATTTGTGGGTCCCAAGGATTTTTGCCTTTGTGATCCCCTTCATCCACAAAAAAGGTTAAAAATTATATTTTATTATTGAGTTGGTATAAAGATGACAATTATATATATATTTAAAGCTTTTATTTGTTTAAGAAAGAGAGAGAATGAGAGCATGAGCGGTGGGGAGGAGCAGAGGGAGAGAGAGACAAGCAGACTCTGCGCTGAGCATGGAGCCCAATGTGGGGCTCGATCCCATGATCCTAAGATCACTATCTGAGCCAAAATCAAGAGTCGCACACTCAACAGACTGAGCCACCCAGGCACCCCTGAAGGTGACCATCTTAATACTATATGCTAAAACATTGTGTCCAGCTTAAAATTTCCTATTTTTCTCCTAATTTAGAAAAGAAATTAAAGCATTTTCATGGGCCCCTAAGCATGTCATGGGTGCTGGGCACATACCCATGAGGCACCGTACTTACTGTGCCTATCCTGCCTTTATCCCCAGTGCACAACAGGGGAAAAACGTTTGATGTCCACTTTTCCAAGAATTCTGTCTTCTTTATGTTGCTCACCTCAGCCCATCTGGAACTCAGTCTGCCATCTTGTTTTGAAAGCTCCAAGTTGTCTAATGCTTCCATGGCAGGATAGGGAATCCAGATCTCCAACAGGACCATAGAATTTTACAGGTAAGATGGAGGTCTGGCAGAGAGGTCCTAAAAATAATTGCTTGGACTTCCCCAAGAGTAGAAAGGAAAGTGTTCTGTGTAATTTCCAGGCATTAAAGCTGTCCTGTCTTAAGGCCATTGTAACCCCCTGTCAGTGAATGAGGAATGTGGAAGACCCCTAAAAGGGTCCCAACTGCCTGTAACCTTTCTTCCCTTCCATTTTAACAGTAAAGGCTCTCTA